ACAAATGCACTATATTGGTTTTTTTAATCATGTGTATAATAGGGGAAAGTACATACAGATATAGCTGAAAGTGTAGATATGGATATTTATATATAATATTATATATTAGGAGAAATGTGTATGAACATGCATGTGAATTTTATGCAAACTTTTAAAAAGTCATGAATTGATGCTGAAATGGAATAAAATGAGTAAGAAACTGAATGAAGAAATGTGAAAGTGAGTGTAACCAAAAGTGACAGAATCATCCTTCCATTTTTTAGCCAAGATATTCATGAGATTTTCTTCCATATATGCAGCCTTTTGTGTCACTTTTCCTACAACCTGCAATTAAATCAGACAATCTCAGCTCTCAGTCCATCAGAACCAGGAAATAAAGACTGTCATCTTCAGAGCAAGCCAATTTGTTTGAAGCTTTGTAGTTGATAATATCTTAGTTGATAATATCCTGATAATAACCTGATAACCATAGTTTCCTGTTTCATGTGAATTACGGTTAATTAGAGGCTTCCTGGTCAGGCTGCTGCATGCCAAAAGTCCTGAGCAAAAGGCTCTGTGTGTGCAGACAAAAATCTTTAACATACCTTGGATTTTGAAAACATGCTTGTTTAGACAGATTTCCCTAGCTTGTCTGGATGCTGTTCTGTTCTAGTGTTTATTTTATTTAGTTAGTTGGTTAGTTATATAAGTTTGTCACTGTTTATTGTTACATTGTATTATGCATGTATTGAAACAATCATTTTCATATTTTATTATGTAGTATTTAAGTAATACAAATAAATTCATAAATAATAAACTGATTATCAGCTGGTCATCAAGCAGAAAATGCTTTATACCATATCCAAAAGGGGTACAAATATTCAACTTATGGAAGAAGAGAGATGGAAGTGTATAGTAGCAAAAAGCTGCTCCAGTGTGCTACAGCACCATAAACTCCAAATCATTGATTGTTGTGTGAGTTTAGTTAAGCTAGATTCTATTTCATCAGATACAAAGTCCAATTTCTCCCCACCCCCCATGACCACTATTACAATTCTAGATTTAAGAACCATCTCATACTTTGCTCAAAGGTACCCTTCAAGCTGTCTCTGTATGTGATGCAAATAATTTCCTTGTATTATAGTTTTTCTGTTTGAGAAAAACTGTTCCCCAAGGAACAGAAATAAGTCTGCACTATTTGAAGCAATTTAATAACTACTGGAATAGAATAGTTCCAGTGATAAGGATGTTGCAATTATTTTCTTCTGCTTTATCTAAACAGACTTTATCCTTTACTTCTTTCTGCATTTGTAGCCATGTTGAATATTTATTCTTCAGTATTCCATCTTCCAAAAGCTTAGATATTCATTGGCAATTACCAATATTCATGACCTCTAGATTCTCCTCAAGGAAATAAAATCAGAAAACTGGCTTGTACAGATGTAATATACAATTACACTCATTTGCATACTGTGTGGAAAAATTATCCTTATCTGTGGCTTGCTTTTTCTCTCAGGGGATCACTCAGGGGAGGCTGACAGATCAATAAGATTTAATTATCATTAAAAGGCAGACAAGATTAATTTACCATATATCTGTAATGAAATCAGTGTACTGTATACAGAACTGAATAAAGGATATTTTTAAAAATCTCATTAATGCACTGTACTACTTTAGCTTAAAGTTTCATCACTTGACAGGTTTACTGGGTGAGATCAGAACTGAGCTGACGATAAAAATATGATGAGTTTTAAATGAAAAAGACCTTTAAAGACTTGATTGTTCATGACTGTTCTGTAGGCAAAATGTCTCTGCTGAGCAAGACATATGGCATTTGCTTTCATGGACGCACTCAAGCATAACACGATGAGATGAATCCTATGTGTACTTACGTATATGCAGCTAAAGGTCCCTGGATATGTTTTCTGGACTATATAAATGAAAAACTATTCCCAATTGCTATGTTGTATGCCTCTTCTAAATTGTGTTGTTTCTTACTCCCATCTTATTCTCTCATCACACACACACATTTTCATTTCATGACCACCTAATAGCTGAAGCTTTCTGGGTAATTCACAACAATTCAGCACACACAAGATAGGTACTATAACATCAAGGAAATGGTTATGCTGTTACTTAACTAGGAATCATTTCATTGTTTCTGTAATCTTAGCTATGTTTCTGAATGAAGTGACCTGTAAACAGAATTCTGGATGGTGGTACTCCATAGTCCATAACAGAGATGGCATTAGAGAAGGCTGGAAGCAACTGCTGCTACTATTTTTCCTTTCTTTCTGAGAAATCATGAAGGGACAGCAGTAGCACTGCTGTTAAAGAATAAGGTTGCAGTTCTGTGCTGAAGACAGCTATACACGCTTACATTTCTGGAGGTATAAATAGGTGCAGGGTAGCAGCTTTAATATTCAACAAGCCCAAGTGTCATCACCATCAAATGCAGTGCTTACAATTAAACCTATGCAAAGTGTCATGCAGAGGTTTGCAGGTGCCTGAGGCAAACTAAGTCTAAACTGGCTTGGATTAGAAACAGCATAGCTGCTTGCCTATGGAGCCTTAGAAATCAAGGCTTACTGTGGAAAAGCTGAGATTAATACCCCTGCACAGATAGATAGAAGAGTGGGGCTTTTGCATGCAGCATTTACAGCAGGAATACAACTTTATATTGTAAGAATGACTAGAAAATTGAACAAGGTGAGAACTTGCTTGTGTCAAGCAATTCTGTTGCATAATTTCTAAAGCAAAGAGCTTGAAATCGAAAATCCTAAAACAGAAAGCAGGGGACTCTTCATCATGGTAGTTAGGAATTTGTGTGAATAGGGTATCTGCTGATTTGGCTACTTGATGGGAAATCTTCTACCAGGGTAATTGGAATAACTGCTAATGCTAGTTACAAAATGGATGCGTTCAGTTGCTAACATTGAGTTCACATGTGCTTGCTTATAATTCAGTAACTACAACCTCAAGTGCTAAGTTGTTCTGTGAAAACAATTGTCACAAAAAAGCATCAAAAGCATAGCTTCCATCTCAGCTGACATCAATTCATACATAATATATTTTATGGATGCTGCTTGTATATTTGGATGTGGAATATCAAACAATAAGTTATAAATACAATGATGAAATATGAACTGATTTGTATGCATTTGTCAGTCAGCCCAGAATCCCAGTGGTTCTCAGAGATTAACCATCAGATCCTTCCTTTTGTACATGAAATAACCTGATGGCACTTATCTGGGACTAAGTCCTCAGCTCCACATTTCTTTTTTCCATTTTAAATTTCTCATTAAAATACTGATTTTGCTCTTTAGAGAATATTCCTGTTACATTGTAAAGGAAAGTATTACTAGCAGCAAGGGTATCTAAATGAGCAAATGAAGCACCTTATGCCATCTGCAAACAGCACCAAGAAGAACATTTGGGTGCATCAAGAAAGACTGTCCAGAAAGCAGCCCATGCCAATGCCAGCCTTGCAGCTGTGGGTTGAATGGTGCAACAGAAGCAACCAAGCAGGAAACAGGCCAGAGTGTGCAGTGTGCAGTTCATCTGTTACAATGAAAGGATCCATCTGTAAGGGAACTTTTTGCCCTCTTGTTTAGTCTTTTCGCTACTAGCAGCGAAAATGTAGAAAATCATCATGGACAAAAAAGAATGGAACATAGGCGATACCTGCACAGGTCCTTCCACTGCATTGGTCTTTCCATACCATCCTGAAGTATGTAGGCTAAGGGCTTTTTCAGTACTGACAGACTGGCTAAGGGTTGTTTATAGAAGCTTGCTGTTCTGACCAGCTCCTGACCTTTAGAAGAATTATAAGGAAGTCTGGTGGTACATTCTGCTGGTGCTGGAACTGATGTTTAGTCATAGCAGAATTTCTTGGCATTTCAGTGCTTCTTGGTATTAAATTTTATTAATATAATTAAAATGTTTTAAATCTGTTGAAAAAATATGCTTAATTGTTTATTTTATTATTGTGCCTTGCCATAGTATTGAATTTTATGTTTCTAAGTGGCTCCAGATATCATGGTCTGGAAACGGTTAGGGAATTATATCAAAGCAATGGTGCTACACAGGCTCATCATGTGTTGTTCTCAAAGTAGAATACAAATTCTTCAGATAGCCAAATCTGAATTTTAAAATTATGTTTCAAGAGTTTAGGCACAGATGGCTAGTAGAATGCCAGCAGTTAAAGGTCCCTGATGCTAGTGCTTGATCTTGTGAGTTAGATGCCTTCAGACTAGTTGGGAACTTAGTGCAGATAAAACCACTAAGGTGGACTTTTTTCAGTATTCCTCTCTTTCCTTATTATATTGTTTTGCTATGGATGTGTGACTGCTCTGAAATGGCTTTTCCCAAATGCTGTTATCCTTAGCTGTTGTCTAGCAATCATTATATTGTACTTCAAAATAGTAATGATAAAAAATCCATGCAAAGCCATGGAAAAGCAAGAGTAGATGGAATAAGGAACTGCTATGACTGAACTTGAGTTCCTAGCTTTGTATAAAACTAGCAAACCTTTTCTCAGTGTAGGATTTCCATCCTTGAATGAGGCTATGTGAAGGTAGGTTGTGTATGTAATCAATTACAGTTAGCTTGAGACAAGTTTGAAATAACTTGCAAAAACATCCAAGGAACTAATCAGAGGACAAGACAGTTGAAGGAAAGGACAAGGACTGCTGGCTTGCAGATGCTTTGACTAATCTCTTTTCATCTTAGTACAACTGATTATGTAAACAAGAATGGATCTATTATTTTTAGTATGTAAATTTGATGGAGTACAGGATTCCCTTCAAGCACACAGCTTCTATGATGACACAATGGGAAATCCTGAATTTGCCTTTGAAGATGAAAGTCATTGATTAAGATCAATAAAAAATAATAAACAACCTCCCCAGAAGTCCAAGATGACTCTTTTCTGAGCTGGGGACAAATATTGCTTTGAGATTACAGTCTTATTCCTCTGTAACTTTAGAAGATTAATCTGTTTTGTTTTCCTTGCTTGGTAGGATCAGAAGACTGTGTGGCCCCTATCCCAGTACCCTGGGGAGTTCCTGCACCCTGTGGTCTATGCATGTACTGCAGTTATGCTATTGTGCCTCTTTGCTTCAATTATCACCTATATTGTGCATCACAGGTAAGAAAAGAAGTGCCAGTTGTTAGCATTAACTGGAGTCACCCTTGATTTTCTTGTTGCTTTTCTATACAAATTTGATCTAAGCTCTTGCCCGATTTTGGAAGGTATGAGGCTTCAGAAAGAGATCAAACATGCAGGGTTGGGTCACTGTTAGCCTTCTTCTTTCCTGTGCTTTTCTTTTAATGTGCGTATGTTTACTTTTCTTCCAATGCACATGAGGACAATGGTATTGTGAAGTCCATTTTTCACGTGTTTCACGTGCAGTAAAAAGCAGAGGTAGGCTACATGTACTGCTCCGAAAAATGACATTAGCAAAATCAGTCACATTTGCAGGGCTCTTTTGCTACTATTGAATGCTGCAAGTATTTTATATTGCAAAGGAACTGCATTTAAATGTAGTAGCCCTCTGTGGCACACAGAGGAGTTTCAGTGGTAACTGTTACTTTCAGTTTGTAGAGGGCAGTATTCAGGGGATTAAAGTGGATGTGGACCTCCTCAATACCCACATGTGGTATAGAGGTTCCCAATGAAACTCCACACTGATGCACCTGCACACGCCACCTATCATAATAACAGGGATTTTGCTACTGTGTATGGATGCCATTTAGTATGGTTGCTACAAGTAATTTGTGCAGAAATGCTGTTGTACTGTACTGTATTAACATAAATTAAAAATAACTATTGTATTGTGTGCCTGATTTTGCCGACATTTGATTAATTGGGAGTTTCATCTCATCACACACAAGATCTGTCTATGTTTATTTAATGACACCCTCCTTGGTTCCGGTCTAGAAGAAAGAACTGCACTCATGCTACCCTGATATTCTATGAAACTCAGCAGCACCTCTTATTGTCATCTGGCAGCTGTGTATTCCTTGCCCATAAAGGAATACTGCCCCTAGTCCCCAACAGTTCTTGTGTTCAGCTGTCCAGGAAGTGATACGACATGCAAACTAGATCTAATCCAATACTAAAAGCGGCTTCAATAGCAGATTGCCAGTCCATAGACTTCCTTGTCGGAAGTGTGGGATAGTTAATGCTTGACATCTCCGTGAATTAAGCTTAATAAGAAAACTGCAATTGTGTTTCCATTAGTAGCATATCTTTCTTGAGGGCTTGTTTGTATGACAGCCTCTTGTAAGTTGCTTCAGGCTGTCTCTTGTTTACATATTCAAAGGGCTAGTGCAGGGGTCAGCAACTCGCGGCTCCGGAGCCGCGTGTGACTCTTTCATTCCTCTGCTGCAGCTCCCTGTTGCTCAAAATATGTGTCACAACTGCCAGTGTGTGACACCCGCCAGCATGTGATTTATTGAGCTTTTCAACCCCCAGTAGGCCAACCATGGAGAAATCCCAGAAAAGTTTCAGAAGAAAACAGAATGTTCAATGGTGCGTGGGCAGATTCATTTGCTTTCACTGCTGACGAGACTGATTTACCAGTATGCGTAATATGTGGTGAGAAATTGGCAAACAACAAAAAGTCAAATGTTGCAAGACATTTCCAGAATAAACATACAGCCTTTGCTGAAAAATATCCGAATGGTGATGAGAGAAAAAAAGCCATTTCAGAACTTATGCAAAAGGTTGATTTGAGCAAGAATCATTTCAAGAAGTGGATTAAGTCTGCAAATTCAACTGCATATGCTAGTTTTGTGGCCGCTCAGAAAATAGTCAAGCATAGGAAGACATTCACAGATGGAGATTATATAAAAGAATCTTTCATTGATTTCATAAATGCAACACACTATAGTTTTTTTATACATAGCATAAAGGTAAAAAGCAATATATGCAGTGTTATCTTTATTTTAGATGTCAAAAGGGTTTTGTGGCTCCTGGTGTTTTCTTTTCTGTGGGAAACGGGTCCAAATGGCTCTTTGAGTGTTTAAGGTTGCCAACCCTTGGCTAGTAGAATGCTAAAGCAGACAGAAGGGTTGGGGGGGAGGGAGAGAGGGAGGGAGGCCAGGCAGTCCATAGTTCAAAAAATGATTTCTGTTAGATCTGAGTGATCTCAAGCTGAGTGATCACATAGATAATAATGTAGCTGTGAACAAATGTTCAAAGAGCAGTAATATGCGGAATTCAGTGCAACAGCAAAGTGATTAAAGATGGTGACTGAAGAAAAAGCACTGCAGTTCTTCGTTTATGAAGGTAACGTTTCTTGATGCAGGATACAATTATGTCTCAAATATTTCTGATCACCTAAAGGAGTCCTGCATTTGAAACAATGGCTTCATTATCATTGAATTGTTTGAATTTCTGTGATACTTTTCACTGTAGCCATGTGACATTGCTTTATTTTAACTTTAAACAGCACAATTCGAATCAGCAGAAAAGGCTGGCACATGCTTCTCAACTTCTGTTTCCATACTGCTCTCACTTTTGCTGTTTTTGCTGGTGGAATAAATCGTGTAAAGTATCCAATTATCTGTCAAGCGGTAAGTACATGAATTACAATTAACATTTTTAATAATTGAACAAAAATTATGTTGGATGGATAGATTAATTGTATTTCAAAAGCATGGTTGTAAAATGCAAAGATGGGAACTAATACTAAAAGACCACAATGCAACCAGAAATCTGTCTGTTTCTCTAGGCACAGAAAACCCTTGGACAGCTCAATCTTAATGTTTTTTACATGCAGATAAATCATATTGACTTCAGTGGAGCTTAACTGGGTATGCTTAGGATTGCATCTCCAGGCCAATAATTTCTTTTTGCATTGTTGTATTGATTGATTGATTTTAACCTGTAATGCAAGTTATTCTTCCCTCTTTTATGCTTTAGAAATATGTTGAGAGTTCTTTATTATTTGTACTTCTGATATGATATCAGTGCTTTTGTTGAGTATTTCTAAGCCTTTTAAAGTCATTGGCAGCATTCAATGCAGATTGTTGCTAAGTACACTCCTGACATCTCATTTTAAAAGCAGACTGTGCCAAAATAGTGGAAAAGTTGGGTCTTTATTATTGGGTTTCACAGAGAGTTTGAAATGAGACTATATTTTAGATCAGTTTTGTTTGTTTGGAAAACAAGATCATTACTGTTTCTTCCTCCTTTCCTCCCTAAGCTGGCTTGTGTCCAAACTTTTTCAGTCTTTAATGCTTTCAGCTGTTGTCCTGAATTTACTAAGAGGTGTGCCCCATCATATATAGAATAGTTTGCATAATTTGGTTACTGAAACAGAATTGTATAGGATTATCAGGCTGAACAAGGCATTGAAAGCATCATCTTGATTGGATGGAGAGAGCTCCCTCCCTTTTTAAAAGAATGATAAAAGAAGGAAAGGTTAGAGATTTCAAAAATCATGTACAGTATGGAAAAAAGTAATTAAGAAAGATAGTTTGCTTCCTTTCTAATGAACTAGTGAGAAGTAACTGGTCAGATAAAAGAAAGTACTCCTTCACTCAGTGTATAATTAACTTATGGAAGCTGCAGCAACATGTTACAATGGCCAGTGCCTTAGATTTATCACCAATTTGTCTAAATCCTTTTTGAAGTTACTACTTTAGTGGCTACTGCTGCTCAGTGTCTTCTAGTATTCTTGCTCCCTTGAGGTATCTGGTTGCTGAGTAGAAGGAGGCTGAGCTTGTAGTTCTTATTCATCTCTCTTATTCATGAGTCTAATTTGTATGATAGCTTTCTATACCTTTATGCCTTCTAGATGCATTTTAGTACGTATTACTTTTAGCCAGCAAGGCTACTGCAACACTAAAACACTCAGTGTAAAGCAACTTCCTATGTTTCCTGTTTTTTATTCTCTTCTCCAGGCTGAAAATACTCAATGTTTTCAATCATTCTTCATAGGATTTGGTTTCCTCACTTTCCTGAAAGCCCTCCAAAGGTCATGCTCTGGTTTGTCAGCATCCTTAAAATCTGATTCCTCAGTCTGGCACATTACAGAAGTTCATTTCTTATGATGTTGCCATCCTGTTTCTATTAATGCCACCTTAGATTTCATTGCTGGTGCAGATTCTGTTTCTGAGCCACTAAGACACCAGCATCCATTTGACAAATACTGAGGTCCAGCCAGCTTTCCTCACACCCTTCCTATACTTGTGCAATTTTTTTTTATTGGGTACCTAAATGCAAAACTTTACATAGATTTTGTGTTATTAGCTTCAGCCCACTGTTCCACGCCAAGATCATTTTGAATATGTTTTTTAAAACTGCTTTCTTGAATTCTAATTACGTTTACAAACCTATCAATGAATATATATAAGAGTACAAAATTCCTTATTTTTCAAGCAAAATAAGGAATCAGGCTTGGTTCTGTCTTCAGTGGTATTAGCTATCCTTCCCAGTTTCATTCTACCTGCAAATTTGATAACAGTCCACTCAGTACCATAATCTAAGATATTTATTATTTAAAAGTTGTACAGCACAGGGCATGGACAGAGCATTGCAGCTCTCTGCAGACAGGCAAAGACCCATTCATGAGCACTGGCTGGGTATAGTTGTTCCGTCAGCTGTGGAGCCATCTAATGGCCTGCGTTTTTCCATCTTGTCCACAAGTAGATCATGGGAAACTGTGTCAAATGCTTCGAATGAAAAAAAGATAAACTGGGTTAATTTGTATAACTGAACAGGTCATCATCAGTCATTTAAGCTATGTGGACTATAGCTATTTAAAACATTTTAGCTGTGCCTGCAACTTGTACCTTTCAAGGAGACCATGGCTAATTAAGGGTTAAATAATCCTAAATAATCCTCATCTAACCAAAAAACCGTTGATTGATTATGTGAGGTTTATTTAACCTTCATATAACCCACAGTCTCTGGGTTCTTGTGCTTGTTAAACGCATGCTGGATCCTAGCAATTAATGCATTTTGCCTGGATGCTGACAAACCAACTGCTTAATAATCTGTTCTAGATTTTGCCTTATCTCTACATTAATCTGATTACTCTGCTGTTTCCTGGTTCTGTTTTTCTCCTTTCTGAAAATAAGGACAGTATTTAACTATTCCCAGTCTTTAGCCTTCTAATACCTCATCTGTTTTCAAAGAACTTTTTGGAAAATTATACACAGAGGCTCTAAAATAACATCCTCAAGCTCTTTCAGCATTCTGGGATATAAGTCATTTGAAGCAGCTAGGTTTTTTTTAACAATTGTCTTACCTATCCAGGGCTGGATGTTCCTTCTTATATCATTTGTTCTGCCTTTCCCAAGTCAATATAATTCCCTTTGTAGAAGACCAAAGCAAAGCAGGCCTGCCAGATCATTGCAGATCTGGGCTGCTCTTTTCTACCCATATATCTGTCTTTCCATCTTACATATATGTCTTTTAAAATTTCAGCTTTTCAAAAAGTCTTCTATGCAGCCACACTGTTTTCTGTAGAAGTCTGCCTTTTTTCCTTCTCATTGAAATTGTTTGTGGTTGCATATTCAATATGTCACTTTACATGATCTCACATCCTTCTTGATCTCTTTTAGCTATGAGAGATCACCCAATATTTCTCTTTGCTTTTTGAAACTGTCCTTCCTAAACTCCAAGGTACTACATTTAGTATGCATATCCCTTGCTATCATGAATTCCAACATAACATGGTCACACTCCCCCAAGGTTCCTGCCACTTTCACTTCATCAACTATTTCTTCCCCATTGGCCAGGATTAAGTCCTGGTAGCATATATCCATGTTGCCTCCTCCTCCTTATGAGACAGGAAATTGCCAGAGGCAAGACAAGACAAAACTCCACTGAGTGTTCCATTCTACTAGAATGCAAGGAGTGTGAGAAGTTGCATGAAGAGAGCAAATGCTGTACGTAGGTGCATGATATTCCACCCCTAGCCTAAAGTCTAGAGAGCCTGACGGTATTGCTCTGTTTTTAAGAGGTGCATAGAAAGGACATGCTTCCATGTACAGCCTGTCAATCCTTGATGTGTTTGTGGGGTCTAAGAAGTAGTGAGGTGGATTGAAAAATTCATGCTTTTCTTGTGACATCAGCCCATGGTAAACACCATTCAGCAAGATATGGCCTTCTATCCTGCCACATGTAGACATACTGTAGCAGTTGGCACTGTACACTTCCCTGAAGGATCGGCATTTGCTTGTTGTGACCTTAAACCAAGATGTACTTGGAAGCTTCCTGTCCTTGTAAGATAGCGCTCTTAAAAACCTCTGCCTAGTCTGCTAATGGAGAAAATGCAAAGCCTATGATTGGCATAACATTGAATGTTACTATTAGGCAAGTTTGTTTTCATTATTCTGAGGTAAATATCTATTAAGACCTAGAATGGGGACTATTAATTAGAGGCAAAACTAATACCTATTTTCTTGAGCTGTAGTTTTGCAACTGAGAACAGTCAGGTAGGTTGTAAGGCTAGGTAATTATATGGGTACAAATAACTACCTGTTGTAATCAGAGTCTGGAAGCTTACTTTGCAGATTGTAAGGTAACAGCATTAAGGTGCTAATGAAAAATTGATTTTCCTGAATGAGTTATTAATAAATTTCCTATGAGCAAATTGTAAGCTATTTTTCCATTAAATGAATTCCCTGTGCTATTTTGCATAATTAAGGTATCAATTCTAGAACAATCACATTGCAGAGTGGTTAGTCTGTTTTCCAGAAGTCTTAGGGCCCCATGGCAGCCCCTTTTTAATTGTCCCATTGATCAGTTCTGCTGCCTTTAAATTGCTCCCTGTTCATACTGAGACTTTTGTCTAAGCACAACCACAGTTTTTGAGACAAGCAGTTATGAACAAATGCCAAAATATGACTCTTTCTGAGCTTAACAGGTGCATTTAGTAATCACATGACCACCTAGCCCATGAAATAGCCCTGAACCCCATTTTTTAAGAGAAAGAAGTAAAGGATACAGTCTAAAATTCTATATTCTTTAAGGTGAGAAAATAGCAGAATTTAGCCATAAGGCAGAAAATAACTTTGCTAGTGCCCATCAGGCTTCTGATTTGAAAAGGCTAGAGGAATGAGCGCTCTTGAATAACATGTTGAGAAACCCTCAGCCCCCACGTCTTCTGGGTATATCAGAATACGTCTGCCAGGAGGACAGCATTGGAACAGCTGGGGGGGGGGGGTTACGTTATGACTCACTAGAAATAATATTGGCACTGGCCAATAGGGGCCCTTAGCATTCACTAGAATCTCAGAATTGCTTGCTGTGGAGAAAATTGTATTTATCCAGCAATAGCAACTTGTGGTTTTAGTATCGGGGAAGATAAACATTCCCCAATGCTCATGTGATACCCTTGGAAACAATGTGTGATCTCCCTGGAATGTGCATGCTAATTTACAGAAAGTAATATGGATCTTGCACAGCCATTGTGCTGGTACCATTTTTTCATTGCTAAAGGAAACATTGAGCTGGAGATGCGCAGGAGGTAAGCAAGAGAGAAATTGACTAAAGGAAAGAAGTGTAACTTAAAGTTCCCCAAGAGAGCATTTTATGCCAGCATGTTACGTAGGTTTACACA